GCGGTGCCGGGGCGCCGGGGGGGGCGCCGGGCGGGGGCCGCGGCCGCCCGCCGAGCTGCGGCGGCAGCGTTTGCCGTGGCAGACGGGAATAAACAAAATAACGCGTTAGCGCACGGCATCGTTGGCCGGCACGTAGCCACGGCAAGGGACTCCCGCTTTGAAGTTTTAACTGGAGCTTAGGATCGCGTGTTCTTTGGCGTTGTGAAACGCTGCGTTAGGTTTGTTCTCGTAGCAGCGGCAGGAGAACAGGCTAAAACATAAAGTTAGCCTGGGTAAAGCAACGTCAGACAGATACTTTTTGAGAACTAGTTTTTTGAATAAAAGAAATGTCATAGATCTGAAATATATAGATCTGAGAAATATGCAATGCCACAGGTGAGGTTAATGATGGTGAAGAATGGTTTACAGTTGTCGCATGGCTAAGGATGCAGCCACGCAATAGCAAGTTATGATGGAAAAAAGTGACCAGGCTGGTGAGATGTGCTGGTGGACTTCTTTAAAAAACTGGCATTGCCTTTTGGTAACAACTTCAGAAGATAGAGTGCCAGCTGAATTTGTAGATAGCACGAAGTTTGGAAGATCTGCCAGCACGAAATAGGTGAGAATATCCACCCCAAGTAGATGACCTTCAAGATGGTTATTCAATTAGAAACAGACTAATAGGAACATCAGTGCTATAACTGGTGAGACCATGGATCCATCTAGCTCAGACCTTATCTGACAATGCAGATGCTGAGGGAAGGAAGGTAAGAGAAGACATGCATGCATGTAACCTCCCAGTTTCTGGTAGAGGTACAACAGTACAAAGGGCAAGATTATGCATTTAGAGATTAGCAATGACTTTTTCTGTAAAATTCAGTTTAGCATTTCTTTCAGTCACACAGTGATCATAGCGCTGCTGTGCAAATAACTTAGCCCCATGAGATGCCTGCTGGGAAGAATCAGTTCGAGCTCTATATACAGAAAAGGGCCGATTAGAGGAACAGCTAAGGGGAAATTTCAGAGCGTGGCATACTTTGACTACTAAAATGAAGGCTGAAAGGGGGCAGAGCTAGTGTTTGTAATTATGCTGGGAGGGAAGTATCAGCGAGGGCAAATAATTTTGGCTAAACAACTTTTTGGCATAGGGACGAGTGGGAATGAAGAGACCACAACCATGTTCATATTGGAAGTCTAAGGAAAATGTCCTTATAAAGAAAAGGGGACAGAGGGGTAAAAGACAAACTATAATATTAATGCTAGAAAAAAGATTGTACTGTTGGATGCTATTCTTCCAGTTTATGGAAACATTCAAAATTGTTTTCCTGCCTTCTGCAATTATAGTCTTCATTAAAGAGCACCCTGAATTACACTATTTATTTGCTGCTTCATTAGGAAATAATGATTGAAATAGTTACTGTATTATGTCACTAGGAAAAGAAAAAATCAAACCAAGTTACTTCCTGCACAGTAGAACTAATAAAGCCTGGCCATCTGAACATGTTATGCTCCCCTTGTGCTCACCCCCACTGCAATAATATCATTTCCCCACTGGCCCAGATAAGCTTCCCTGTTTCCACCACAGTGTACTTAGTTCCCATCGCCCATGCACTGCCGCATCCCCAGATCTGC